GGGGGGGGGTGGGTGCTTGAACTCGTCAGACGAGGACGAGACCCTGGCACATGGGGGTAAGGCTGGCTGCGTGACCGTCCAAGCGCGACACTCTAAGGTCTTCTGATCAAGGAGAGAATGTGAATGCAGGAGAATGGAGCTGAGGGCGGTAGCAGGCCTTGGTGTTGGTGGCGGGAGACGAGGGCGGAGGGAGTTGGTGTGTGGAAGAGGGTGCCTTGGTCGAGATGGAGTGAGTGAGGTGGTTGTCGGTGGTTGATCGTTAATACTCGGGAAGGGGTCGATGCTAATCGGCTCGTCGATAAGCGGCAGAAATACGTCGTAGGCACTGTACGGTAACAGTACCTATAGCCGGACGGAACGGGGGTGCCTGGCGCTCTTTTGCTGACCAAACAAGAAAAACTGTGCCTTTCGGGAGGCAAAACTGCATTCATACGTCAGGAGGGGGGAATGAGAATATCGTCTCAGCAGGCCCTATCTGTTTTTTATATTGTCCCACAAGACCTCTCGCTCTTGTTTCTTTTCCTGAAAAGGTTCTTCCCGCCATTTCCCTTCAGGTACCCAAGGTAAGGTACCTTACTGCAGGTGAGGAATAATTCACGTGACTGATATCACGTGTATTGCCACTCCGATTAGAAGATGGACTTCTTCAGCTACCTACCTACCTAAGGTATCTTACAATACCGCATTAGTAGATACTAGCACGTGGTGACACTGGCTCTGAAAGGATCAGGTAGCTCTGCATCACAATGTCACAAAGTGTCAACATGTTTTTCCTGACACTGGCAATACGAGGCGGTTTTGAGCAATTGTACGTCATAATCAACTGGTAGGCAGGCAACCAAGTATTCTTCTAGTCTTGGGCTGTCAAGGCCCTAAATTTAATACATAAACTGGCCATGTCTCTAATGGCTGTATTGAGTCATTTGGCAGGCATAGAGCTACTTTATACATTTTCTCTGCCGCTCCTCATCATCATCGACCATATGACCCCCCAGTCACCCACTAGCCAAGGACCTTCTCTGCAGCGGAGACTTATGAAAATCAGCATCAAAATCCTAACATGGCAGTCGGAAAGAACTTACCGTTAAGACCCGTATTATCAGGTTCTACGTGCATGGCCTTGACCTTTCCATCCTCAATTTCAAGAGCATAACGCTTACTTCTGGGACCACCAAAGATGGCAGTGCCATCGAAGGCTAAATCAAGGGCTTCGGTGAACTTGGCAGTTGGGTCTCCCAGGAATCGAATCTAAGCAGAAGTGTGAGATTCGAATAGGCACGATGAATAAATAATCCTGAAGAGGAAGGACTGAAAGGGGAGGCTACTTACTCCTGAGCTACCCGTAGGGTCCAATGATGCACCCCAGGCCTTCGTGCTAAAGAGAGTCAGAACAGAGCCATGGATGAAAGTCACAGAAGGCAGAACTCACACGAAAGGGTCGTTGACAGCAACAACAAAAACCTTGCCGGCATCCTTCAGCTTCTTGGAATTGATGTAACCCGGGATATGAGAGTTGGAGCAGGATGGACCTTTTGACCATTGGTTAGATTTTGATTTCATACATCATCCTCAACCAAAACGGTGCAAACAAGCTGAGGTTGTGACTTACTGAATGCAGCAGGAACACCAATAATCAAAGCCTTGCCGGTGGTGGTAAGTTCACTCAGGTTCACCTTGTTACCCGGTGAGTTCTCAACAAGGACGTCAAGATTCGGGAGCCGGTCCCCAACTTTGATAAAGGCACGGGCCGAGCTGTGGAATGACCGAGCAGGTCGAGCAGCTGTGAGTGCAAATCGACGAAGGGCAAATGTAGATGCCATGATTACAAGCTTCTAGTAGAACTTGAGTCAATGGGTTGGGGTGGTGGATGGTGTGCTCGGAGAGATGTGGTTGAGTTCTAAGGGGGGTTGGGTTAGTGAAAGCTCGCTTCTTATGATACTGCCACTGGGGTATGGAACTACACACGGTAAGGAGCAACTTCATTCATCTCAGTTACTCCATACAAAGCATCTTTTCTATCAATATTCGCCATTCTTCATCAATTCTCTCAGTCCAATCTTTGGATACTCTTTCAATACTTGACAACACGTGGATTTTATTTTGCCTACATAGAGCGCCTTTTGACGGGTATCTCCGAATCTGATTGGAGCGCATCTGAGTGAGCTTGGCTTAACGGGAACCAGGGCCGAATGGAGACGATGGCGATATGTATTTCCCCGCCGCCGCCAATCTCGCAGTGAAATGGCTTGATGCTATAAGCTTTACGGGGTAGCCTCAAGTTCTATGCGGGGTACCTATTTTCCCCAGGTTATTTCTCCGTCTCCAGGCGAGGATGCGATAGGCCTCGGAGCTCTTCACGGTAGGTGGCACAAGTAAGCTATGGCAGCTATAAATTCCTTGACTTCGTCCGCTTTCTCCAGAAGTCTGCATCTGGAAAGTTGTAGTTGCAAACATGCGTATCGAAGTTCTTGCTCTGTCCTTATTCCTCTTCGGGGCTGCATGTGCTGCTCCACGGGAGCTCCCCTTCTCGACCTTCAGCAACGTCACGGTATTCGCCCCTCCCGCCGATTACACAGATCCACAAGTGCTCTACGCACGAACCGTTGAACTCGAGGATGGGGCTCTTCTGGCAACATGGGAAAATTATAGTCCACAGCCCCCGCTCGTCTACTTCCCCATCTTCAAGAGTGTTGATGGGGGGGAGACATGGAAAGAAATCTCTAAAGTGACGGACCAGGTCAACAACTGGGGGCTTCGATATCAGCCGTTCTTGTATGAGCTTCCTGCACCTGTCGGACGTTATGCAGCTGGAACGGTTCTTCTGGCGGGGAACAGCATTCCAGAAAATCTGAACTCCACCGAAATTGACGTCTACGCAAGTGAAGACAAAGGTTATACCTGGCACTTTGTCTCGCGTGTTGCATCTGGTGGTCCAGCTGACACAACGGATGGTGTTCCTGCAATTTGGGAGCCTTTCATCCTATACTACGAGGGCAAGATCATCGTCTACTATTCAGATCAACGAGATCCACTCCATGGCCAAAAGCTTGTCCATCAAGTCTCCGATGACCTTCTCTCCTGGGAGCCGCCAGTGGACGACGTAGCCTACCAACCCTATACGGACCGACCTGGGATGACGACCGTAACGCATCTTCCCAATGGAAAATACATTATGACTTATGAATATGGTGGTGGACCACATGTTTCCGGTACGGATTACGAGTTCCCAGTCTACTACCGCATCAACGACAGTCCCTTGGAGTTCAACAACTCCGTCGGCTACCCAATCATCGCGGACGATGGCACGCAGCCCACCTCTTCACCGTATATCACTTGGTCCCCAATCGGGGGACCAAACGGCACTATTATCGTCAGTTCGGGCAGTTATAGCCAGATCTTCACGAATCAGAAGTTGGGGGCCGTTGATGCATGGAAGATTGTTCCAACCCCCGAAGGGATTTCTTACACACGCCATTTGAGGGTATTCAAGTTTATCCCGGATCATTTGCTAATAATGGGTGCGGGTTTCCTTCCACCCAGCACTACGAATAAGGTCACAGTCAGTGTGATTGACCTTGCGAAGAGTCTGCTCTCAGCGAGCTGAATGGAGCGGGGTATGGGAGGATTGAAGATGAGCTGCCTGATAACTAAATAATGGTCAATCAAAAGCTCAACTTCCTGATCATGATGGTTTTAAGGCTTAGGATGGCTGTAAGAGTTCCTTGTATCTTTATCCACCTCTTCCAATTTATGTGAGTTTGGATGCTTCAACTCATAATATTACATACTCTTTCGTTCCAAATGCTCCTCGTCGATGATCGCTCTTGGTGAAAAGTCTAGAACGGTGAACGAAACCCAATTCAAACATTGTCATGATGCGACGTCTTTTCCTCGTCCTATTCAAGAATTTGTGAGGCGTAGTACTATAGCAAGCAGTACGATAAACGGTGCCAACGCAAAGTATCGGTGTGTCGATTTATTTTTGTACCTGCATAGAGGTCCCGACGGGAGTGGAGGGGAATCATGAGGTCAAGGGGCTAATCAGGGCCAAGCTTTTTTAAAAGCGGGTTTGCCGAGGGGGAGCTGCATTAGCGAGCCCCTTTAATCCCATTCCCGTTAGGTGGCTGGGGGCCGCCTCCTATGGTCTCGCCCCGTTGTCTAGCGAACTCGCGGGTAAACAACGCTCTGGCAGAACAGCGGAGTGGAAATTCGAAAGGCTGGTACACCACGTAGCCATACCAACCACCTCATATTCGGACCCCGAACAATCTACAAAGTAGCTGGGCAATTTCTCGTGAGCCAAGGAAAGAAACCCTCCTTCTTAAACTACCCACCGTTCATCGATTCTTCCCATCCTACCTATTCTTTGTTGTGGAGAAGTTGTCTGACGATCTTTGGAGTCTCAAGAAACAGTGCTATCTAGTTACATTCATTCTCTACGAAGCGTCATTTTGCATATTCAGGTCTCGAGCTTACATTCCTCGATATATGCCATTAGCATTCCTCGATCGGAGATCATACACCTTCACGCATTCCACGGCTGCGGCTCCAACGTCCCTGCGAACGACGGGGCGGGAGTTTAGCTGATTCCAGGCAGCCTTTCAAGAGTCTCATAGGAGGCAGACAAGATGGCAATGGCACAAAGGTTTCAAATAGGGTGGATGAGTATGTCCAGTCTCCGTTCATTGTTTGAGGAGCCTGGCTGACATTCCAACAGGGTTGATACCTTTCCTCGGATACCACCATGTGCTCATGTTACTGATCGCAGTTGCGATCATTCTGCTCTGTAAGTATTTTCTACCGCGGCCTTTTCTACATTGCCTGCTAACCTGGTCCAGCAATGTTATTAGCAGGTTGCTCATCTTCATCGCCCGTTATACCCAACATCTTCCTCATATCCCTCTACTACCAACCATATACCCCCGTACCATCAACATCACAAACGGATTTCAACGTTCACACTGCAATAGCCAACATCGTCGGTGGCGCAAGATTATCAGCAAGAGTTGGATTCTTCGGAATTTGCATCAACCCAGATGGAGGATCCTGGCTATGCAGCAACAATGCCACAGCGTTAGCGAACGAAGTGAGCGTGGATCAAGATCCGCTGAATTTAATCTGGCTTGCAAGTCAATTTAAGGACATGATTGTTTTCCCATACTTGATGTGAGTATCTCGCTCACGTTCTTCGTTATTGTTTACTAACAATTTCACAGCATTGTCGCAATAATCTTTGCGTTCATCTGCCTCCTGCTCCTAGCGACTTTCCCAGGATGGCACGAAGAAGAAGACGCCTCTGGCAGCGAACGAGAAGTGAAACCATTCCCCTCCCGACCCGTCTCCCAAATCGCCCTCGCAATTATCTTCATCTCCTCGATATTCATCCTGGTCTCCGTCCTCTGGCAACATACGGCCTCAGTCGCCGCCTCGATAATAGCCCAGGATCTTGGGAATGGAAGCGTATTAAGTGGAGTTGGCACCACGGCGATGGTGCTTGGGTGGTTTGGATTCGCACTATTAATCATCGTCACGATCGGACTGTTGGTTATGATATTGAGTATCAGAGTTCTGGCGGAGACATTTGGTTAAGCGGAAAAGTTCCAACGGGCGAACACGACGGAAGGAATAATTTGATACATTTCAGCGAGCATGATGAGGCCCCATCGCCCTTGCACACCACCAATGGGTGATCGGACCATCGAGTCATTGAGGGTCGATCGCATCAGTTTGTGTATAAAGAATGACTTTGAGCATTTGGGACGGAGTTGGGCAGACTTTTTCGGTTGGATTTTTTTCTCTTGGAGCGAAGATAGGAAGGGAGGAGTCGGGCTTTATTCCGGATGTTAATACCTACGCAGGGGGAAGTCGAGCAGCTGAGGAGGATCTCAGCTTGTATGTAATTCGCAGGCGTGGATTTGGAGAAAACACCCCCCCCCCCAAAAATTTTATGAATATCATGTCGATTTCCCCGCGCCACCTTTTCAATTATCTATCTTTGAATTGTGATCTTTCGTGCATAAACTCGTGATATAGACATTGGACACGTTAACTCATATATGTAGTCGAATCGAGACGAGAGGATGAGGCTCGTTCGTTCATTTCATCCAACCAACCCCACGCGTGAGCTTCATTTCCTCCTCCGGAACCGACTATTATGAGCCGGTCCCCCCTTGGCGCCTGAATTCCTCAACTTCAACCTCTTGAAGTTCTGATGCGCTACCGCGTTCACCTTCCTCGCCACCGTCCGGATCTTGCCCTCCTTCGCGCTTCCCCGCCGTCCCTGATTAGGCCGTCTGTACCGCGTGCCCCCCTCGGAAGCCGTGTATTCTGATTGCGAATCCGAGTCGAAATTGCGCGCATCTTCGAAGGCAGCCGCCGTCGTGTCGTCGTCGTCGGCAGCGGCTTGCTGCGTCTCGGGGATCGTGCTATCGTCCGCTGCTGCTGCCGTGGTGAATTCATCATCGCTAGCCCCCTCTTCCTCCTCGTCGGCGCTGCGGGGCGCGGAAACGGGTTTGGCGCGCGATGGTTTCAGGGTCACGCGGCGCGTGGTGCGTTTCTGTCCTTTCTTCTTGTAGATCTTGAGGGGGAGGCCGTCGCGGCCGAGTGTGGGGTTCTGGAGCTCGTCGGGCTCGCTGTCGAGGAGGGCTTCGTCGTCGAACCCGCCGAGGGGTAGGCGGGGTTGGCTAGCTTCTTCCACTTGCACGGTTTCCTGGGGTGTGGGGATCGGTGCTTTAGAGGGTGGGTCGCGGCCGACTGCGGCTAGCTCGTTCTCCATCTCGTGTAGGGCTTCGAGGTCTTCGTCGGCGGCTTCTTCTTCCATTTTGCGGAGGCCGGCTAACATGCTGCTCAGGCCGCGGACTAGAGGTTTTCTGGGGAGGCGGAGGGGTTGGGGTGATAGTTCTAGGTCTTCGTCGTTCTCGTTCACGGTGGGCATCTGTGGTCGCTGGCTGTCTCGCCTTAGGAACGACGGCGTGGCGAAGTACAGTTTTGACACGGATGATGGTGTCTTCCCCCCTTGCCCGTTGGGATGTGGATTCTTCGACGGCGTGGTGAACTTGTCGAGCATGAAACGTTTTCCAGCTGAAGCTGGCGTTCTGGTGTGCCTGGGAGTAGCATGTATATCGTTGGGCGGTTTGCGAGGCGTAGAATGGAGTAAAGCTTGCAGATTTGCTCCAGATGCGCTGTTCTTCTTAGATGGTGTATTGCTTTCCTCGAGAAGATCAAATATCCCCAAAACCTGTCCATCCTTTTGTGGTGTCGGCCCAATAGCAGTCTTCTTCGAGGGCGTGAATATATTGCGTACGGCAGAAGGCGATTCATATGGATCGACTTCCCATGGTAGCATTGTGTTTTTCGAGGGCGTCTTCATAATCTGGAAACGTTTGGAAGGCTGAGCGTGCCCATCCTCGTGCTTTCGCTTTCGAGGAGTCTCATGATGACTTGGTGGAGGCTGAACTATCTTCCCCGACAAAATATCGCGGGCCTTATTATATTCCTTGTATTTCGCAGCTAGAGCATATATTAGTACGGCATGTCAAAACCTTCGTGGCTACGGGCTATACCAATAGCTGGGTGCTTCTTGATGTCATCGCGGGAGGCTTTCTGCCCATTGTGGGAGGCGGCGAAGTTCTTCTCCCATGTTTTCAATTCCAGGCGAAGAGCATTTGACCGCTCTGTTAGAGCCTCCCGTTCTTCTTCCTTCATATTTTGATCGTCCTATCAAAACTGTCATGAATCCTCGAATCAACACATCTGTAGGAAGTCTCGTGCTACGCGATACGCGACGCGCGCCGGCGGATGAGAAGTCTTTTCCGGCGACTTGATATTCGTTCTGAAGGAAGCAATTTGCAATATGCAAAATTTCGGTCTTAAGGTTGTAGAATTCGGCTTCTGAAGGTCATCAAGTATAGTAGAGTGTTCATGAACAGGTAGTAAGGTGTGAATACGCAGGTAGTTAGACGCGTCGCGGGCTTCATTCGCATCCCTGCTTTTTCTTATCGCTTATCGTCATAGCCGCCAAAGATCATCGCCAAGCGACGACTTTTCCCATGGCTGGACAAACATCCTCTTCATGGAACACGAGGACTTAGATGCCAGGTCCAAAATCCTCCAGGCCACACTTGCTGAGATCCATGGCAGTGCTGATGATGCGGAAGAGAGCTGTTGTGTGATATGCCTCGAGCGCATCTCCGAGCAGGCTATCGCCCAACCTTGCAAGCATGACAATTTCGACTTCCTATGCCTGATCAGCTGGCTCCAGGAACAGCCCTCCTGTCCTCTCTGCAAGGCCGACATCAAGACTGTCCAGTACGGATCTGCGAGCGGCGAAGCGCACAAGACTTATGTTGTTCCTGTCCCTACAAAAGCCGCAGATCCTCCGAGCGCGCCGAATCCTCGCAACTTCGACCCTCGAGCAAGAAGGCCCTACCGTCCAAGGCGCCCCTTCATCCCACGAACCCCTCCCACGCCTGACGAGGCCCTCCTACGCCGCCGTCACATCTACCGCAATCAGCTCTACTCTCTGCACGTGGGGAGCAACCGGGTCTCACGATTCCGGGACCTCACGCCGGAGCTGTTCAGCCGCGATGCAGAGCTGGTATCGCGGGCGCGCAAATGGATCCGGCGAGAACTACAAGTCTTCGAGTTCCTGAACCCCGACCACGCATCGGGCTCGGACCGGCGAGCCAACAATGCCGAGTTCCTGCTGGAGTATATCGTGGCGATTCTGAAGACGGTGGATATGCAGGGCGCGGGCGGGCAGGCCGAGGACATGCTGCAGGAGTTCCTGGGGAGGGAGAACACGCGGCTCTTCTTGCATGAGTTGAGGGCCTGGCTGAGGAGCCCGTATACTTCTCTGGAGGATTGGGATCGCCATGTGCAGTACAATGAGGCCGTTGGAAAAGGTCGAGATGGGTCTTCGTCTGGACAGGAAGACAGGAGAGGTGGCAACGCCCACCGTAGCAGATTTCGGGGTGATGGACGTTCTTCCCAGTATACTCCTCGAGGAGAGCGCCGTTACTTCCCATATCATCCAAGACAGCCCAGATCGGACGGTTAACCTCTCCCAGCTCTTGCATCTGTCGGACGTCACAAGTCTTATGGGGATGTGAGATGCCGCCTAAGTTTACACACTAGCCTGTTCTATCGACCTCCATATACAACAGAATCATTCATTCTATGACCTCGGGTCGGAGAAAGCCAATATACAAAGACCTGCGGCAACAAACGCTGCATGGTGGACAAGCTTCTGGCGATGGTAGATGGAGCTCTCAGTTCTCGAACGCGGGACTCCAACCGCTAAAGAGTCACAGCAATATCTGGTCCGGGGAGTGCAGGCGGGTAGAGATGGGAGGAGTAGCGCTGCGCCGAGGACAGGAGTGATGGTTTTCAAGGTCAAGATTCTATTCTGATATCATAAGGGGGGTATATAGGGGATTAGAAGGGAGTGTTTACATGTCTCCCTTACCCTCTTTCGCATATCGATGCATACGGCACGAAGCTCGCGATTTAGAAGGAGAGATAAAACTCGGCCGAGCTGTGGAAGCCCAATGATAGGAAATGAGATAGAAATGAATGGCAGTTTGAGAACGCGAGCAAACCTCAACATATCTTGGTCCTTTTCTTAGCCCATCTATCAAAATGCATCACGATCACCACTCTCGTCCTCGGCCAGGGGACAAAGCGTCGAGGAAACACGTCCCAGAACTCCCCTCTCGTCGGGGCAAGAGAGGAGCGAGGAAGGAGCAGGTGACTCATGAGATGAAAGCAGACCGCAAGCAGACTTGGACGGCAATGACATACAATGAAAGTACCTAGTAAGCCAAGACCAGTTACTTGTAAGGTGCTGGAAAGGGATGTCAGTCATGTCATAGGCGCACAATCGATCGGGAGAGTCCGGATAACCGCATGAGATTCGAAAGGGTTCGATCACGTGAAAGGTTCTCGATCCTCTCGCCTCAAATCGAAGTCCAAAAATAGAAGCCGTATATTGGTGGCAATTTGGAGGCTTGAGGCAGTGCGGTAGAATGGTTGGGAGGGGGATTGGAAGGAATGCAACGTCTAGGCTCTGGCCTGGTCCTGAACAGGGGATGGACGGGTACGGATAGGAAGGAGGTGGATACACGAGACATAATTCAGTATGTGTGGATGTGAAAATAGCAGCATCGCAAGAGATCTGGGCCAGCACAGAAAAACGCACACGACCAGTCCGGAAAGCATAAACCCTCGATATCTCCAAGCAAAGGCCCAGTGCACAAGCGTACGGAGGAACAGAGGAACGAGTCTGCTCCTGGATAGGGTCGGGGAACGGCCAGTGACCAGTCAGACATGTTCTAGTAATTCTCCGGGGTGCCGACCAGTCCGAGGGCCCAGCGAGCTCTTCTGGGACTGGGAGTCTGGGAGAGTCTGGGAGTGGGAGGCCAGTGTACTGGGCCAGGGACGAGGTCACGTATCAGGCTGGCAGGGGGAACTGGCCGGATTCTTATTCGATGGCCGGGGCCCGTCCCCTGGCCGAGATGGGACGGGGGGGGGGGGGGGGGGAGGGACGGTTGGTCGCTTGAACGCTGACCGGGGCGGAGAATGGAGAGAAAAAGGCCTGGGGCGGGCCAGCGACGACTCACATAGAATAGAATAGGCGGGACTCTGTAGACTTCTGTTCTTCTGTTTGCCAAGGGAAGGGCGGGAGTCTGGAGGTGGACTGCAGTTCCATAGATGATAGATGATAGATGATATTCGCTGCGGAGCGGTGGATAACGTTTCACGGGTTGAAACAGGAAGCAGTTCTCGCTCTCGCAGTGCTCATGGCCGGGGGGGGGAATCGAGTAATGCGGTGCATTTTTGTCCTTTGTTCCCTAGGCACGACTGGGCAGTTTACGCCGCAGAACCATTCGACAGCCTCGAAGGAAAAGGGGGCGTGGGCCTATACGAGCCGGGGAAGGGCGCACCAGGCGAGCCAATCAGCAGGGGCGGGTCTGGCGCTCGGCTCGCTTGGGGTGGCCGCAACAACGCGTTCCTGGCCTAGCAAAGGGCCGCGCCGTCATAGTGTCACGCCGGTCTGCAGTGGGAACGGGCTTCAGTCAGATCTAATTTCCCAGGGGCTCCACTCCAGTCTCCAGCGCCGGGTTCTTGTTGTCTCTCTGGCTCTGCGCTGTGTGGCTTTCGCTCTGTCTCTCTTGTTTCCCTCTCTCTCTCTCTCATTCCCTCATCCGCCCTTCTCTCCTCTCCTCTCCTCTCTTCTCCTCCCTCCCTCCTCCCTCTCTGCTGGCCCCATCGAATATCCATCCACCGCCTTTGCTTCATCATCAATCATCGATCCCCCCCCTCTATATTCCCTTCGATGATTCCCGTCCTCTTCTAATCAACTCCTCTCTCCTCCCCCCCCCTTCTTCCGCCCGCACGACATTCATTCCTTGACTAAGAGGCACACTCGTTACGGCCTCTCTCTTCGCGCGTCCTTTCTCCCCCTCAAGGGCCACCATCACCCGGCGTGACCTTTTTTGCCCAGCAACAAACAACATCAATCAACATTCACCATCATCCGTCAATCATCCTCATCGACGACTAATACCTCCGCCTATCAACCTCAGATACCCCCATCTATCACGTCGCTCTGCTTGTTTATGCTCGTCGACGCCCCTCGTCTCTGAAATAATATACACACCGCCGACAGCATCCACGGTCATTTCGAATATCTCCCCGGATCTGACCTGTCCATCAACCCCAAGGCACACGGCCACGGCCATCAACCCAGACGCCCATCATGAAATCAATATTCTCCCTCCCCTGGGCAACCGCCATCCTCAGTGCTTCATATGTCCTCGCCGCCGAACCAATTCCGGATCTCGAGCCCCGACAATACGCTGCAGTGGTCAGCAAGGGGTGCTACTCATCGAATAGCGGGCTGACCTTCGGCGACACATATACCTGGCAGACCAAAGGTCACTGTCAACAAAATGTGTGTGCTCCTAAAGGAGACTCAGTAGAGGCGACTACCAACGGGACCGATTGCTGGTGTGGAAATTCCCTCCCTCCGGCGTCAAGTCTGGTCGACGATTCCAAGTGCAACTCGCCATGCGCAGGATTTGGGGCCCAAGAGATGTGTAGGCATACCTCGATTAGAAACATGGGGTCACGCTAATGTGATTATACAGGTGGTGGTAACGGATACTATTCTCTTTATCTGACGGGTGTTGGGACCCTGGAAGGTGGTGATACCAGTTCCTCCAGCTCGTCCTCATCATCTTCATCATCATCATCAACCTCCTCCAGCTCCGTCCCCCCTCCGACCGTTGCTCCTACAACGTCAGCGCAACCGTCCGTGGTGACAGTCGGAGGTGAGCACCCCCTTACCCTGATCCCAACGCGCAAAATCTGACTCTAGATAGGACAAACAATTATTGTCACGGCAGCCTCTCAAGCAACGTCTGCCGCGGCAGCCGATGCGAAGAAATCGTCGGGCACCAACAAGGCTGCCATCGCCGCGGGCGTCGTTGTTGGCTTTGTCGTGGTGGCTGCAGCGCTCGGGGGAGCTTTCCTATTCATGCGCCGCCGCAGAAACCGCCAGGTGGAAGAAGAGTACCGAAGAAATGCAGCCGTTAGTCAGTTTATTGGTGGTGGCAAGCCGCCAACCACCGATACACGTCTCGATCCAGCCGTGATGGCTCAACGGAGGATGAGTGACGGAAGCATTGCAGACAACCAAGACTATTCGAGGAGGATCCTCAAGGTACGTTTGTCGCTTGCCGAGTGGATCCAGCATACTGACAGGTCCAGGTTACCAACGCATGATCTACTATCCGGACGAGTTCCCATGTCATTTAGCCTTCTCTTATCATCACGGCGTTCACGGTCCTTGCTCCACGGCTCGATATGGTCTGCGTTGGTCTCTCTTGTGTTTCTGGTCTCTGGTGTTGTATAGGTGTGGCGTAAGATGAGCTACGAAATCATACTCCTTGCGTCGAGGGATGGCTTTCTACCAGGCATCATCTACGATAAACAAGCGTTTGGCTAAACGTTTTGTGTCACACCGTCCAGTCCTTTCAGATCTCTTCGGGCAATTTCTTGCACCCCCCCCCCACATTCCCCTTCCCCTTCGCACGATATCCCGGGTCCCGCATCTCGGGTATCATTAACCCACGTCCCGGTCTGGCAGAATCAGCGAGTCTCGGTGCATCGAGGTCTCGGCTGGCCTGGAGACCAGTGTACTTTCTACGAGCTATTGGAGGCAGATGGATATCCAGATGGGACTACTCAGGGTTGCGGCCGCAGTAGCATAGATCCAATGTAATGAATCCAATGCATTGTATAAATGAATTAATATTTGAGTGATGTGTTTGCTTTGTTGGATTGGGATGTGGGTTGATGCTGAGGGTCGAGATTGATATTGAGCTATATCTCTTATGCCAGATGCTGAGAGGGAGAATGTTATTGAGCCATACCTACTTACTCTTATGCCAGCAATCCAAAAAAAATCTCAGATACCTCGGCATAAAAGGGGTCGCGTATCATCATCAATCACAATGCTCTAACACAACAACACAACACAACATACCGTACCTTACCTTACCTTACCTTAACTAGAATAATAATAAAATAATAACAACATCCCCCCCCCCCCCTTCTCCCCCTCTTCCCCGCCCAATTCATTTTCATTCATTTTCATTTTCATTTTCATTTTCATTTTATCCCTTCCCTTCCATTCCATTTTCACCCCCCCAACTTAACTCCCTCCCTCTACAGTTACCTAGTCAATCAATCAATCAATCAATCTCCTTATCATACATCTATCTATCTTCCTACATACATATCTTTACTGTAGCAGAGTTAGTTAGACGTATATATATAGGGAAGAAAGAGAAGTCTACCTATCCTATATTGTTTCTCGATGTGGTGAAATGTGATAATATACAACCCCCCCCCCCCCCCCCCCCCCCCCCCCCCCACCCTTTCCCCACCCCCTTCCAATCCCCCGCCCGCCAGCCTGGGCCTCCCCTCATATATCAATATATCAAAATATCTTATATCGCCAAAAAAAAAAAATATCCTTCATGCTATGCTATGCTACCCTATACTCTAAGATAAGATTGGATACCTAGGTAAGGTACCTAAGGTTTTGGGGGAGATATTATCCCATCCCTACATTATCACATCTCACCACATCTCAAAAAAGAAAAAAAAAAAAGAAAAAAAAAGAAGATATGAGAGATGATAGAACTCTCTCTCTCTCTTACTTCCCTATATACACTTCTAACGAGGAAGTATCCTCTTCTCTTCTAACTCAGTCCATTCCATGGTTTATGCTATGCTATGCTATGCTATGTACCTTATGTAAATATAAATATGAATATGGTAGGTACCCTTGAATTTGTGATCTGCTCTGTACTGTTCTGTGATTGATGTACTGTGATGCCATGTGATGCCATGTGATTGATGTACTGCTCTGTTCTGTTCTGCTCTGCTCTGCGATGCGATGCATAATCCCTAACGCCCCCCTTAAAAGTATAAACACAGAAGATGAGATGAGATGAGATAAAGCGAGCGAATGCAATGCAATGCCATGCTTTGCTTTGCTTGTCGGATATTTTGTATAAATCCAAAACCACCGAGACGGAGGGATTTGTGAGTGTGTGTGATCCCTTTCTCAAAACAAAAAACAAAAACAATGTGTCAACGAACCAAAAGAAATCTCTATGCAATCGATCGATCTATAGGAGGAAGTTTGAAAAAAACCTGTAATCGCTCCGCTACATGCACTATGTTCAGAAGCCCCCGGCCCAGCCCAGCCAGCCCAGCCCAGCCCAGCCCAGCTTATCCTACTATGATATATGACGCTCGCTCGCTATGCACCCGTGACAAGACTCTCCTTTAACTCCCACCGGCCTTCTTGCAGTCCCTGCAGAGCCTCTTTCCCATCCTCGGTGAGCTCGGGACGGCCGAGGGGCGTGACGGCGCCCGTGAAGAAGCGCGGTTCCCATTTCGTGCCGCTCTCTTCGCGCTGCTTTGCTTTCTCGCGCTGGCGCTCTTCGAGCTCTTGTTTCAGGGACGTGGCCCGGGAGAATTGCCGTGATTTAATGGCGTTGGTGACGCCGGACCAGAAGCGGAGGGATTCGTTGGGGAGTTGTTTGTCCAAGGGTGGTAGGATCTTGGGCGCCACGGAGAGGGGGCCGAGGTCGATTAGGAGGGTTTGGGTATCCTGGGTATATGTTAGAATGGTTGAGACGATGATAGAGGGGATCATACAGATTTCGGTCCGAGGGAGAAGAATAACCTCTCTCGCCAGTTGCCTGATATCCGGGCCAGGATATCCTTCTCTGGCACATCCCGTATCCTGTTCTTGTTGTCGTTCTCGGGATCGTAGCGGAAGATCACCCCCTCCACCTTGTTCTGCGTCTTTCCGAGCCATCCCTCTTCGATATAGTGGAGGATGGTTTTTATCCTGGTCTTCGCACAAGTAATGTAGCATTGATCACCGACCGTCACGCTGAGACTTCCGCGTAAAAGACCCCCCAGGTGGGCGGCCGGATGCGTGAGTTGGTATTGCTCATTGTCCCGCTTTGCCAATGTGATGAAGATCCCGAGGTTGTGCTCTCCCGGTGTCACCTTGATACTCGTACCCGTGAACTTTGCGGAGAGCTGATCAAAGCCTCGCGCCGTGATACCCTTCTCGGGACAATCGACGATGAATGCCGAGACGGGAGGGTGGTGGGAGGTCTGCTCTGTGAGATATGATACCCTGACAGGTTTCTTGGGTGCGGCCGTGGAATTCCTTGAGGCTGTCCCCGATTTCACCGACGACGCTGCGCTGCTCGGAGCGGTCTGTTGCTTGATCGTAGAGATAGGCGGAGCCGTGTCCTCCACCTCCCAGTTACACTATCTGATAGTCAGCGACGCGCTCGCGGTCCTGTCATTGCCTCCCTTACCCGGAAGAATTCGCCAAGCGTGGAGTTGTACGGTTTGCATGGCTTCCCCTTGACATACTTCAGATCCTTCGTGAACCAGAATCGCAACACCTCCAGCATCCGATCCAGCGGATCATCAGAGTCCCCGATAGCGATGAATGTATCGGGTTGGTCGAGATAGTTCCAGTACTCAAGGTTCGGGGTGGGCTCCAGGAGCTGCGCCGGCAGCGAGAATCGCACGGAAGCAATGTCGGCAACGCCGATGAACCTGGACAAGGGAAGGAATGTTAGCGAGAGGAGATCCAAGCAGGAACCGCCCAGAGGAGAGATGCCCTCGAGACCAGACGCAGAAGAATGGCAGAGGCAAACGGCGACGCCACCCTGAACAAACGACGGTGTGGACAAGGAACAGGCAATGCAGGCGAAGCTCGCGGGAACGGGACGCTTACTTCCGCAGGATGCTCAAGAACATGCGAAGTTTCGAGGTATCATCAGGAGATTTCTCCTGCATATGGGGTTGTGCGGAGGATGAGTCGGATGCCGTCGAAGGGGTCGTGGAGGCGTCGGGCGAATCCTCAAAGGATCCCGATGATGCGGAGGCCATCATTAATGATACGTGCGGGATGGGGAGGAAGGGCTATAGGCAGTGGTGTGATGGATCGGATGTCTGGGTGTGTGGTGTGTATATGGATATCAGCGTCGCGATCTGTCTGCGGTGTATTGGACGAAAGATTCAAGGACCGAGAGCGTTGGTAGTGACGTTTGTGTTTCGGGCCCAAGCGATAAGAGCCGCCGATAGTGAACCTTGGGAAGACAAAAGCACGACAACCAGTCGAAGATGGCGGATTATACTAGGACTATGGAGAGAGAAGAGGAAACGCAAAGAAGCTGGGAGGGGAGTCCACCATGGCAAGAAGAAGGCGGCATCATAAGCCCATCTCAAAACTCCTGCAGAGGGGGAGGAGAGGACTCGAAGCTTCAAGAGGATGCACAGTCAGGACCATATCTTCTTTGCCTATGAAAGCGTGCTCTCCTCGAGTCACGTCGTCCCTACCAATCGATTCGCCCACGAGACGAAAGCTCTCGACCGGTGGGTTTTGTATCTTTAACCAACCACAGCCATTTGACGGCCCCGCTTCATGCTATGGCAAAGGGCAAAGGGCAAAGGGCAAAGGGGCCAAGGATAGAGTAACGAGACCTCAAACACTTTTTGCGATAGAGGGAGAAGACTCATCGCTGCCCTTTCATCGAATAGCTATATAGCTTCGTACCACCTACAGTTACTGCATCAACACTTTACTTACCTGGACCTCGTATCCAGCCTTCTGAACCTGCACTATTGGCGGATGTGGAGGGGAGCGCCCAGGTAAAACTGCCGGCAGTGGCGAACTCTCGAGGTTCAGACGTAAACCGTCTTAACAGACTGAACAGACTTAAAATAGAACCAAACATGTAAGTGGTTGTACAAACTCACTCTAACAGCTAGTGTAGGACAGGTAGGGCACCAGACCAATGGAGCAGAGGGTAATGGAGATGGTAAGGTACTGGAGAGGGAGGGCAAAGAGAAAATACTGGAGATCTCAGGGAGATCTCAGGGATATCTATCTGTAAGGTCGACTGGTCCGATGCATGAGCAGCACCACCTGCAAGTGTCACGCTGGGAAATGGGACAAGGAGCTGTCAAGAAGCATCCCACGCGCGTCCTGGTGGCTCATGGGTCATGGATGTACCTGTCGCATGGCACGCACATCCACAGCGAATAGTGCACGACCATGCTCGAGGCCAACGTCGGGACACAGTAGTGAAGAAGCTTGGAGGGACCGGGGCGAAGTCTATTTGATTGTGTCAGACTCCCTGCGCAATACGAGCGGTGCCTGTGGCTGGAACCGTTGTGTAGCCTCGTAGGGCGTGGGAGACAAGCGGCTGGTTTCGGATGATGTATCTGTTGCGCGGAAAGTGTATACAAAATATTGAAGAGAGTCCAAGTCGGCAATGAAACCTCCTTCGGCCAGAGCATTGGTCTGAAGAGCGTGGTGAGAGCCGTGAGCTGAGTGTCATCAGGTACATATACATCAGCATGGGCAAACGGCCAGCCAGGGGCACACACACTACCCCGGATTCGAATCGAGGACAGGGCTTCTGCTTCAGACCAGCGCATTCGCATTCTGTGCGAGGGCAGTACGGGCAGTACAGGCAGTACACCGTAGTACGGAGGTTCTTCCGTGTGTGCTCGATTGCTGCCACACAACACATGTGGCGGTGCTGGGTGGGCAGGTAATGGGCATTACGTATGTAGGGGACACGATCATCACAATAGCCCACGCAGACTACGGGGACTCTGGCACTCTGCTGTCATAGGCACTTGTCCATCCCCGGCAATTCACACTGACCGAGTACCTGGTTACTTTCGGCCTTCGGACATAAGTGTATTAATGGTTGTTGTAATGCGCTTGCGGCGTGCAGTGACGGGCTGCCGTTTGACGCCGTCGAATCTTCCACGGGGATCGGCGGGCGGGCTGTGGCTCAGTGCCTTGCCAGTGTCGTCATCGACCGGGTCTTGAGGCGAGGGATGGGCGGCCATGGGCGAGGGACGGGCGACGATGGGCGATGATGGGCGAGAGATGGCCAAGAGATGGGCCAACAACCGGATGACGCCGAAGTGGATTGCGCTGGGTCCTGGACTCCTGGATTCCTGGGTCGCCCCGGCCGGGCAGCGGAGACGAAGGGCCGTAGTCGTGCGTGTTGAGCAGAGGAACGAACGTACTAAGGGGCATCATCGATTGATTATTATTATTATCTTTTACCCCTGAGGGCGAAAAGACGTGAACACGACTGGAAAAAACACTTGACAGAACTGACAGTCGCAACACCAGCCCCATGGCCCCATGGCCCCCATGGCATCTCCACAATTCGCACGCACGATGCGGCAATAGCTGCAGACTATTGCATGCGGGGTCTCGGAAAGGCCCCTCAGCAACGCATGGGCATATCAAATTGCCATCCGTTGCCCATCGCCTATCGCCCATCGCTTTTGCCCACCCGCGGCGATCGTTGCCCCTTTTCCGTAGCTGTGGCTGGGGCCCTCGACTGCACCGTCGTCATTGAACGCACCGCGGGGGATGTAGGACGGGGAGGGAACTGCAGAGAGAGAGAGATGCGAGAGGAGGGAGAGAGATGGGACGAGGGAAAAGGGAAAAGGGAAAAGGGTACCACAGCCGAGAGAGAGCGTCTCTGACATTTCTCTCACTCGACGTGGGTCTCTCTCTCTCCATTGCCACTCCCTCCCCCATCCATCCACATCTTCATCACCCGTTACTGTTGCTTGTTACTCTGTTACTCGGTTGTGCTGCTCGTCCGTCTGCTCTACTCTCCTCTCCTCCTCTCCTCTTTACTGCTGCTCTTTTGCCGCCTTATGTCCCCCCCATGCGTGTTAACCACCAGAACCCCATATCATAAGTCCATCGCTCCGACATATACATTCCACTGCATATTTGCCTCCAGCCTTCGAATCCCATATCCCATATAACTCCCCCGTTCGCTCCCCAAGCAGACACGCGACTGTAAACGGGCCTTGTCACGTTCGCTACACCCCGTCGCCCTGCTCTCCACCGTCCCCGTCTCCCATGCTCCTCAGCCTGGAGTCTATTCTGCGATCCTGGACGAGTGCGAGTATATGGCCTTGACCGACTGTCGTGCTTCCTCCGCACTCTGCCTCCCCCCAGAAAACATACGCGCGCTCAGCCAGCGTTGACTGAAAGAGCCCGAGAGAGGCTCGGCGCCCATATATCCAGATGTTTCGAAATCGGTAAGCAGCGCCCTCACCCCTGGGACCGCCGAGGGGGCGCGCAAGGGAAGAATCCCGCCTCGCAGTTGCGCGGCTTTAGACCGCGATGCGCCGCCACTGTTGGATGTTGGGTGTTGGGCACTTGGGTCTGCATGTCGAGAAACTAACATCTGCGCGCTCCAGGACGTCTTCACAAAAACCCGGCGATGAATTCATCGCCCACTTTCGCCAAAAGTTCCCAAGTGTAGTGCTCTCCTCTCAAGGGGGTTCCAGTTCGGGGAACACTTCACTCGACGGTACAATTGCTGCTGGTCCCCAACCAGATAGGTGTGTTTGCCCTCCGAGCCCCCTTATCTTCGCCTGCGCAAATCCCCCTTTTGCCAATATCTGCCCAGGCGGTGCCATCTCCTCCCGAGCGTCGCTGACATGATCCCAGCAGACATCACAGTGTGGGCAGTGAAGATATGAAAGACCTTGATCCGACACCTAGAGCGCAGCATGAACCATGGCGATTCACGCCCTCCCTCCTCGATCCCAATTCGTTCGCCTTTACGTCTTTTGCAAACCAGCCCCCGGGATACTACACTCCTCCGCCCGGCGGCTTGAATACTCTATATCATCCCCAGGCTGGCGACCTCCACACCCCTGGGATAGGTCTGGGTATGGGGCTTGGAACACCCTTATCCGACCCTTCCTCAGCAGACGGTCTCCATCATGGCGGCCTCATGAACATGTCTGCTTTCAGTCATGACATGAATCCCCAGTTTCAAAATTACAATCCCTTTAGCCATCCGCCTCAGCAGCAACAGCAACAGCATCATCAGCACCAGCCCCAGCAGGTATCATACGCTCCATCCTCGTTTGTGCACCAGGATACGGGTTATGAGACAATGGAACAGGATGTCTCTGTTTCTCCAATGGATGATCGAGGCCGGATGGGATCCATGGATGCCAATCTTCAGCACCATTCGCCGATTATGGCCTTCCAGCCCGCCCAATATGATATGGCTATGGCAGCGCCAGAGCCCTCACCAGCTGAGAAGTTCCGTTTCCGCGTCACGTTGAACGCACCAACGGCGATGATCAAGCACGCAGACGAGATTCCGGTTACGTATCTCAACAAAGGACAAGCTTACTCGATTTTGATTGTCGATACTGCGCCGACTATCCCTATTCCTCCCGGAACTCGCTACCGCACCTTTGTTCGTATCTCGTTTGAAGACGAGCAACAGCGACAGCGGCCGGCAACGTGTTGGCAGCTGTGGAAGGAGGGACGAGGGACGAACGAAGCCCATCAACGGGGCGGCAAGCTTCAAGCTGTTGAGTATGTCGAGGCTAATCAACCCGCCGAGGGTGACGACAAGAAGACTCGGGTGCAACTCGATACCGCATCTTTCGATGGCTTCTCCGTCATATGGACTCCGGGTGTCAATGGCTCTGCAGAATGCAGCATTGCAGTCCGCTTCAACTTCCTCTCCACGGATTTTAGCCACTCCAAGGGCGTGAAAGGCATTCCTGTACGGCTTTGTGCTAAGACTGAGAGCATCCCGATTGGATCGCCGCATTCCGCCGCCGCGGGCTTCTCAGAGGTAGCCTTCTGCAAAGTGAAGCTTTTCAGGGACCATGGGGCCGAACGCAAACTATCAAATGACATCGCGCATGTCAAGAAAACCATTGACAAGCTCAGGCAGCAGATCGCCCAGGCTGAAACCGGAATGAAAGATTTCGGTAAGAAGAAACGTCACGGTTCGGTATCAACCCAAGGCCAGGCGGCTCAAAGGTCAGGGAGGGTTCAGAAACACAAGCGGACTTGGTCAACGTCATCTGCTTCATCAGCCGGACGATCTCCGATTGAAGATGACCTTATGTTTAAGCTCCAGACCATGCAAGATATGCTCACGAGCACGAGATCAGTGAGCATACTTTATCTCCGGGGCGAAGAGCATGATGATCCGGATCTCCATCCAGTAGCTCTGGTTGGTGAGCCACTCGATCTTACAAAGGTTGAGGCAAACGTGTTACGGCGCCCGATGAGCAGCGATCACTCCACGCCATCGCTCGTCTCGCCTACTCCAAGTTCGATATCAATCTCGTCCCAAGGGTTGAACAGCACCGCTGCGCCGCCTCCGTGGACCGAATTCCTCGCTCCCGGAGACGTCCACTCATCAGCTCCCCAGCAACTAGCCAGTCCTCCTGATCAGCTCACCAAAGTAGCCAAGACGGACGAGACAGGGAAGCCAAGCAGCTGGATCGAAGCACTGGGGGTTGATCCCTCGTACAAGCCACCACCCGAGCGTCTGGTCAAGTCCGTGGCTTGTTTCTATATCCTCCATCGAGATCCTGCCCATCCCGATAGGCATGAGTATCATCGAGCGATCTATCTCGCGGAGCGCACGCTGAAGGATTTCACGAGCAGAATAGCCGCGAAATGGAATCTCGAGCCGAGCAAAATCCTGCGGATGCTCCATGTCACCAAGGGAGGCTTCCAAGTCGAAGTAGACGACGACGTGATCAGTGAGCTTGCCGAGGGTCAAGATCTCATTATGGAGATTGTGCAAATCAAATCAGAGCTCAAACACGAGTGGGACATGGCTGTCGACGACGACAGCGACGACACTATCCACACCGAGGGCTACGAAATCCGGTTGATTTTCTAGCACCTTCGTTTCTCCCTACCTGCACACATACAATAATCTTGTCTTCTCATGCACCCAAACGACCCGGCGATGGTCCTGTAATAGTTACGAACATCATGTACTAGGAGGTTTCGATCGAATTCCACGGCATGGCGTCAAAACTGTATTCCTTTCTATCAAGATACCAGTTCCTGGGATTGGGGATATCCAGCAACAATTTTTCATTCCTCTTCATTCATTCATTCTTTATCATATTAAAAAGTAGAAAACTCCTTTGCTTTTTTCGTTTATATTATATATATATGTTTTAGAGAGAGAGGGGGTGGATAACATGTAAAAAGCTATGCGATCGAATTTCTGGTCCTCACCCAATACACACGCACGACCTCTTCTTTATTTTTATTTTTCTTCTTTACCTTCTCTACACATACTTTTATCACCATATCATATTCTATTCTATTCTATTCTCTTTCCAACCCCCTCTCGGCATTCCCTCCTTTTACGCAAAACCATCGCACGCACAGGCGCTACGAAGACATACGACTCATCTCTTTTCTTGTCCTTTTTTTACTATGCAAATATGTGTTATCCAGGATATAGTGGCGTAATTCTTATTGTTTATGCTTTTATTTAAGGGAAGGGAGGTGGGAATTTTTGGGGAAGGGAAGGGCAGAGTTGGTTGGTGTTTAGGCTTGGTTTGGTTGATCGGTTGGGTTGGGTTGGTTTGGTTTGGTTGATTGATTGATGAGTGGTAAGGTAAGGTAGATAAGTAGGTACGGTACGGGTATTATGATATTGATATTGATATGAATAATAATACAAAAATTTAAAAGAACCTACTTCTCTTACCAGATCGATATCCAGAATCTAGAAGAAGAAGCATACCTACCTACCCGATAAACTACACAAGAGAGAGTGTGTAGTCTTTCATCCCTCCTCAACCCCCCCACCTCGCTTCCCACCTCGCTTCACAAACCCAAAACCCCCAAACCCAAAAACCACACAACAAACAAACAAACAAACAACAGGCCTGCTGGCCCAATGGCAAGGCGCTTGACTACGAATCAAGAGATTGCAGGTTCGATCCCTGCGTAGGTCATTTGTTTATCTTTATTTTTGATTTTTGATTTTTATTTTTTGATATTTTTTGGATTTTTGGGGAGGAAGGGGGGAGGAAGGGTTAGGGGGTTGATTTTTGGTATTTTTGTCTTTTTTTTTTTATAGATATCTCTAACATCCCCCTAACAAAAAGGTACCTTATATATAAAAAACGCCTATACCCCTCCACCCCCCTCCATTCTATTCCGTACGTATAGTAGTAGTAGTAGTAACATCTTCCTCTATTAAATACCTATACTAGGTACTATAAGAGTTTAATCTAAGTTTTAGTATATATATAGTTCTATAAGAAAGAAAGAAAATAAAACCCTCTTACTAAGGCACTATTATATTACTAGTCCTTTTGTTATGTCCTTATCTCTTTTATATAAGCCTATAGATATTACTATAGATATAGTACGCCTTATATATACTAGACTACTTCTAGTACTCTACTTTATTCTTAGAATAAAAATAAGAAAATAATAACTACTTATAGTTACCTTAGTTCTTACTTAAAGGTTACTCTTTATTTGTTTATACACTATTCTTTTAACTCTTAAGATAAAAAATCCTAATCTTATAAGCCTCTTCTTCTCTTTATATTATAAATTACTTTTATAACTACTTTAGGTACTAGTTTTATACGCGTATTAAGTATAGCCTTTATTTACTAGCTAAGACGTTATATAAGCTTGTCTTAATATAGGCCTAAGGCTGTCCTAATTATTATCTTAATTATTATTCTATACTAAATCTAGTTTAGTTCTTATTACTTGTTTAGTTACTTACTAGTAAGGGGTCTTTATTATATTTTATATAAACATCTTACTTCTTTACCTTTCTCTTTACTAATTTACTCTTAACCCTTTCTTCTTTTTTATCTACTCTTAAACTCTCTTTTCTAAAACTAAAATCCTAAAGTAACTTTAATATCTCTTAATCGTCTTTTCCTTTAAGATACCTTACACTACCCTTACTATAACCTTATAAAAGTAAAGACGTAACTACTCTTCTTTACTTTACTAGTCTACTAGTAAGCGTATCTATACTAGTAAGCCTCTTTAGGCTAGTTCTTTTATAGTAAAGATATATAACGATTTAGCTAATAATTAGTCTATCTTTATATAATCTAACGCTTATGTCTTAAGTAAATTTAATAATAATAATAATATTAATAATAATAACCTTTTTACTCTTTCTTAAAGTAGGTCTAAGATGTTTTTACCTAGCCTCTTTATAATGTTTAGTACTTATAAATCTACCTTTAGAGAGCTAAAAAAAGGTTTTACCTAGATTAGTCTAGATACTCTATTAAAGGTTTGTATATTCCTTATTATTAGTACCCTTTATTACTTACCTATAGACTAATACTCTTACTTTACGTAGCTAAAGCCTACTAAGTAGCCTATATCTATAGCTAACCCGCGTCTTTCTTTATCTCTTACCTTTACTAAGTAAAGAAAGGAAAAAGAGAGGACACTAGCTAAGCTAGGATTAAGAGTAGTACTAGAGAAAGTAGTAGCCTAGCTAAAGTTAAAGCTAAAGCTAAAGCTAAAGATAATAATAATAATAATAAAGATAGTAGTATAAATAATAATAATAGTAATAACTAAGATAAAGATAAAGATAAAGTAAAGAGAGAAGAAAAAGAAAGGCCTAGCTAAGAATATATATACTTATAGAACTAAGGCTTTACTACCTCTTTAGGATACCTTCTTATTAATTTCCTTTATCTAGTCTATTTATATAAAGTATACTACTTTCTTTAAGTAAGAAGTAGTAGCTATAGTATATAAGGTAAAGAAAGAGAAAGAAGAGAAAGATAAGGGTAAGGATAAAGATAAAGATAAAGAAAGAGATAAAGATAAGGATAATATTAATAATAATAATAACCTAGACTATTTTAATAAGTTAGTAAGAGATATACTAGTCTAAGTCTAAAAAAGGGGTACTAAGAAGTCTAAAGAAGAAGATACTAAAGAGGATAAGAGAAGAGAGAAGAAAAAAAGAGTTAGTAAGGCTAGTAAAGAAAGAGAAAGAGAAAGAAGAGAAGATAAGGATAAGAATAAGAAAAGAAAAGAAAAAGGGCCTACTATAACTAACTAAAGAAAAGGTAGTACTATAAAGGGCGTTACTACCTTATTAGTTAGTTACTAAAGTAGACTTATATTATAAAGTAGTATATATACTATCTTATATTAGTACTATTCTTTACTAACCTTTACCTAAGATTAGTAGTATACTTACTACATATATAGCGGTAAGAGCCTATTAGTATAGAGTAGTTACTTTCTTAAGGTTACTATCTTTACTATATTAAAATACTATTTTTAAACCTTATATACTAATATAAGAAAGCGTTAAGAGATAATATCTATAATTATTATACTTAGTAGTGTTCTTCTTATAATAAAGTATAATTCCCTTAGCTCCTTTTCTCTTTTAGTCCTTATTAACCCTTTAGCTAGATTCTTTTTAAACACTTCTCTTAGGTAAGAAAGGTAGTAAAGTATACTTACTTTATTATTACTACTTACTCTAGCTTCTTTATTCTCTTAGCTTAGAAGATTACTTTTACTTACCTTTTACCTTATATAGTAGATAGCTCTTTTGTTTTTCTTTTTACTACTTCTAATAAGTAGTAGAATTTATATAAAAGTTCTTAGTACCTTATTTATAAGATAGTAGGCCTAGGCTAAACCTACTACTACCTCTTAAATAACACTACTTATAAGATTACTAGTTAGTTAGACTAGCTTAACGCTAGTATAGTAATAATAATCTAGACCCTTTACTTTATTATAAGGTCTCTTTATTCTTTTTATAAACGTAGCTAATAAGTAATAGAATCGTATACTTATTAATAATACTATTACTTATAATTATACTTATAAAGAGGGGAAAAACTTTTTACAACAGTTGTCTACGCCCCTTACTACCCTAAAAACTTAAAAACAAACAATAGAATCAAAATTAGTACCTTTAGATACCCTTTAGAGTACTAGTAGACTATAAGCGAGCCTATAGTAACGGATAGTAGGTGTACTAGACTTAAATAGAGCTAGTACTACCTACTTATAAGTAAGAGCTAGTACTCTTATACCTTAACTAAAAGCTATAGTAAAGAGCTAGAGAGTAGTAAGAGTAATAAAGACAATAAGACAGAGAAAATTATATAAAGAATTAAAGCCTATATAATACTAGGTAAGGAGAAAGAGGCGTTACGCCTTTTACACGACCTTATTGTTATAATAACAATAGTAGTAAAGACAAGAGCTATAAACACAACAACTCTCTTATATACTCTTAGGTCCTTTTCTAACAACAACCTAATAACGATTAGATAATTAAGAACAATATTAAAAGAGGCCTTTTAAAGGCTAGTAGTAATAACAGCCCTTTAGGCTACCTACGCGTTAGTAGTAGGCTAGCGCCTAATAAGAGTATAGGTTATACTAGAGAGGTAGATTAAAGAGCTAAGGATTAGAGTAGATAAGTAGATAAAAGACCTAGTACGTTATAGCGCTATTAAAGTAGTAATAGTAGCTAATATAGTAATTAAGGGCGCTAAGGTAGTAACGACCTACTAGCTACCTAGTAGTAATACTATCCTTATGTTTAAAGAAGCTATACTAAAGAACGTAATCTAAGATTAGGGCTAAGTATAAAAGGCGTTTAGGCCTATAGCCTAGCTCTATAAGAGTAAGTTTATAGTAATCGTAAAGGGCCTACTAGTAGACTAGATTATATAAGTAGAGTTAAGAGTGTTACTAGTAGAGATCTAAGCTTATACGCTATATGTTATAAAGGTTAAAGTTAAGCCTATTAAGGCCCTTATAGTAAAGTTTATAATAGTAGTACTATACCTCTAGAGTACTAATATAGTAACGTGCCTATATAAACAAGGGTTAATCTAGTAAGCCTAGATCTTTAACTACAAGCTGTATTTAGCTAACCTACAAATCTAAAGATACTTTTAGTACTACTAGTTTAGCTATATTAGGCGGTTTTATAAGAACTAGGCCTAGTACAGCTACTACGTAAAAGCGGCGTACCCTTAGAGTAAAGAGGAGTACCCCTAACTTAATAGTAGAAAGAGATACGTAAACTATAGTAGACTATATATAGTATAAGACTATTAATATCTTAAGGCCCTTAAGGTAAAAGAGTAGGCATATACTATATATTAATAAAGGCCTAGATAGTTTAAAGTGTCTAAGAGTAGCTTTACTAGCTAGGTACCTAGTGTTACACTAGTGTCCTTATAAGATAGCGACAATAGCTACTAGATTATAGTACCTAAGAGACTATAGACAGGTAGTAGTAAGAAGCCTATAGTAAAGACTCTAGTAAGGTAAGGACACCTTCTTATTAAGGTACTAGATATAGTAATAGTCTAGAGCTACGACATTATAGAGATATTAAGCTAAGGAGCTAACTAGGGGTCTAGTAACCCCTTTATAACGTAAGACTTATAGATCTTAGACTCTTAGTAATAAAATTAATAATAGTATACTAGAACACTATAAGAAGGAACGGCCTTACCTTAATAGCGCTTT